TTCGGGCGCCGGGAAGCCTTTAAGGCCAGCCTACTGCCTAACGTTGCTTTCTGAAACCAAAAGAAAATCTCCAGGAAAGCGCCCGGCAGGTGGGCGCCGGGAAGGGTTTAAGGGCAGCTTAGGGCGCCGGGAAGCGTTTAAAAGAAAAAGAGGCCAGCCTAAACTGACTGCCTACCTTTGCTTTCTGAAACCAGAACAGACAGACAGAACCAGAAAAAAGGAAGAGAAAAACCCGAAAAAAGAAACATAAGACCCAAATAAAAAAAAAATCTCTCCAGGAAAGCGCCGGCAGGTGGCCAAAGGACATGCTGCTTTCTGAAACCAGAAGAAAATCTCCAGGAAAGCGCCCGGCAGGTGGCCAAAGGACATGCTACTGGGCCGCCAAGGGCGCCGGGAAGGGTTTAAGGGCAGCTTAGGGCGCCGGGAAGCCTTTAAGGCCAGCCTACTGCCTAACGTTGCTTTCTGAAACCAGAAGAAAATCTCCAGGAAAGCGCCCGGCAGGTGGCCAAAGGACATGCTGCTGGGCCGCCAAGGGCGCCGGGAAGGGTTGAAGGGCAGCTTAGGGCGCCGGGAAGCCTTTAAGGCCAGCCTACTGCCTAACGTTGCTTTCTGAAACCAGAAGAAAATCTCCAGGAAAGCGCCCGGCAGGTGGCCAAAGGACATGCTGCTGGGCCGCCAAGGGCGCAGGTGCAGCCAAAGGACATAAGGCCAGCTGCCTAACGGCTTTCTGAAACCGCCAGGAAAGCGCCCGGCAGTGGGGACATGCTGCTGGGGGCCAAGGGCGCCGGGAAGGGTTTAAGGGCAGCTTAGGGCGCCGGGAAGGTTTAAGGCCAGCCTACTGCCTAACGTTGCTTTCTGAAACCAGAAGAAAATCTCCAGGAAAGCGCCCGGCAGGTGGCCAAAGGACATGCTGCTGGGCCGCCAAGGGCGCCGGGAAGGGTTTAAGGGCAGCTTCGGGCGCCGGGAAGCCTTTAAGGCCAGCCTACTGCCTAACGTTGCTTTCTGAAACCAGAAGAAAATCTCCAGGAAAGCGCCCGGCAGGTGGGCGCCGGGAAGGGTTTAAGGGCAGCTTAGGGCGCCGGGAAGCGTTTAAGGCCAGCCTACTGCCTAACGTTGCTTTCTGAAACCAGAAGAAAATCTCCGGAAAGCGCCCGGCAGGTGGCCAAGGACATGCTGCTGGGCCGCCATCGCCTAGGCAGGTGGGCGCCGGGAAGGGTTTAAGGGCAGCTTAGGGCGCCGGGAAGCGTTTAAGGCCAGCCTACTGCCTAACGTTGCTTTCTGAAACCAGAAGAAAATCTCCGGAAAGCGCCCGGCAGGTGGCCAAGGACATGCTGCTGGGCCGCCATCGCCTAGGTGCTCCTCGGACGCGCTCCCCCTGCCATCGTCTGGGGTCGGCGGATATATTATGTATATATACGGCATCCAAGTATTTCCCTATGACAGGTTTCTCACGATTTGTGGTATACACGCAATTCCAAAGCACCAGGCCCCAAGGCACCAGTTCACAATTTGCTTATAAGTTGGTTTGTCACCCCCATTGACATTCATAGATACATGGAGAGTCATAGATATGATTGATATGATATACACCTTTGTTTCAAATCCCATTTACAATCCAGTTATTAACCATAACACCCGCATTACCATCAATTGTTTACCATAGAAGATGTTTTAAAGTCATAAAACATCCATTCACCTTCTGGTAAATCAACATAGCTGAAAATGACCAATTTATAGTGTTCCACTCGTCTTCCAACCCGTATCTGGCAGGGTCTATGTTAATTTACTGGAGGGTACTAACATTTTACAGATATGTTTTACTTTCACAATCATAAAACATCCATTAAAACATCCATAAAATATTTTTTTATCCAACCATTGGTTCATCGTGTGCCGTGCAGGAAGTGACCTTCAGCATCGAACGCCTCACCGAAGAGGTGTCGCCCATCCGTTGGAGTCGCTGGGTGGCGGCCTCGGCTCTTGGTTAAATCTAGGGATTGTATTGATGAGTGATAACTAGTATTTTTTTTGTGATTACCCTAGGGTGAACATACCGATGTGGAAAGAAAACGTTGCTTCCTTAGGAAAAGCATCTTGAAATAGTGAAATTGTCCACACCTATGTAAACGTGTTTCGCCCAGGGCATAATATATCTTTCTATATATATATATATGTATATGTATATATGACATATAGCGGCGGTCCTAGAGTAGATAAAATATCGATTTGTCCAAAACGAGTCCTTACTAAAATGGGAATATGCATATGCATGAGAATGCCATATGTTATCTACTTCAGGATAATTATATATGTATATATTTATATATAATTATCTAATTATTGATAATCTATGTGTTGTACATGCACGATTATTCTGGAGTGTACAATGTAAGTATAATATACATTTTTTTACATGTACTTTTGCTAAGAAGATCCATTTGCAAAGGGTCCTTCAGGTTTGTTTGTTGGTTTTCCTGGTTGTTATATGCGTATATATATATATATATATACACATACATCGCTCTATAGTTCTCCTTTGCTGTCCCTGGCAGGCTATGAATTTAGTTTAGGTTGCAAACTGGATCATGTGAAGTATCAATGGCATTTTTGTAACTGAATGTTTGTGAGCATACAATTGGATTCTGTCTAGCAAAAGCCTTGGATTCTTGGACTCCAGTTGCGATCTCTTTTGACCCACAGATGGAGGATTAACAATTACACAACAAGAAAAGGTCATTTGGATTCAGGTCATCCATCTATCTATCTATCTATCCATCCATCCATCCATCTCTCCATCTATCCATCTATCCCTCTATCCATCTATCCATCTATCTAGCTATCTATCTGTTTGCCCATCTATGCATCTATTGCTCTATTTGTATGTATGTATATATATATATATGTATTCGTGGTCCACCCCACAAATAATTACCAGTGAGTGTCATCAGTGCGCGGCCTGCGCTCCATTGGTTTTGCCCACTTTTTTTTCACTTAGGTCTTGGGCCTTTGGGACTTTCGTCTCAGGACGATCAGTGATGTACTGCATCAAACAATGGGAGTCCTTCCAAAGCGAAGATGGGAAAATGAAAAGGCCCCAAACAAGTCTTTCTAGTAGAAGTCACAGTCATTATACCAAAAGTGTGCAGGTTTTTAAAAATGGTAGTTTCCATTGACCTGATGCCTGGCCTTGTGATTTGATATTTGGACCTTTTCTTTTTGTGATGATGACCCCCAACATAGATGAACGACTGCAGAAAGGGGATACACCTGCGATGTTGGGTCAAGGCCGCTGAATAGCAGCTGTTCCAGAATTTAACACTTCGACAGCTTCTGGATTGGGACAACCCTACCAGTTGATTTTCAAGGTTCCAATTTGAATAATGTTCCATTCAGGTATGATTATACCAAATGCTTTGTGGACATGGCACATATGTTGAAATCTTGCTATGGATAGAACGGGAGAGGTGATTTTGTTCTTTTTCAGCTGAGCTTTTGCCACGGACCCAGTGGGGTGCCGCACGAACTCCACCAAACAAGCAGATACCGTACACAAGACATACGGTGTAGTGTGGCGTGTTTGTTTTCTGTTGGTATGATATGTATGTACATTTCGAAGAAAATCCGGCGAAGACCCAAGTGATAGTACGTTGTTTATGAGCCTATATGGGGATAGGTCAAAACCTATGACTACCATATTTGGAGGCATAACCATCCATTAAGAACAATTTTTGGAATTATATTTGGATTACCGCATTACCATATTTGTACCGCATTACCATATTTGGATTACTATTTTTTTTTGAACAATGTATCCAAACTCACGTCGCTGGATAAGCGAAACAGGACAGCAGAAGAGAGGGAACTCTGGGGACAGCAAGGGTTGCTCAGAGTGGATTCCAGCTGCAGTTCGACGCAGATTTACATTCGGAACACTAAACCATGTGGAATACTTTTGAATACTTTTGAAGTAGAAATTATGTTGGATCTTGGTTGATGCGTTCTGGTTCTTGATTGAAATATATCGATCGGCTTACATCATGCAGAAGTGTAGATCTGTGAAATCTCAGTGCCTCTTTCAAACAACACATTGTTGATGTATGTCTCCACATCAGGGTAAAGCTTGGTTGCCTTCAGCCGTGATAGCCATCATCATCCACCAAGATTTGTCGTCGTCGCCTTCAGCCGTCGCTGAGGGCATTGGCCAACTTGCTCCGAGCCGAATATGAAGCAGAAACCTACCAACAACGTGCTGCTGGCATGAAATCTTGCTGAGCTTCATGGGCAACTCAACCAGAAGAACATAGAAGAACAAAAGTACTTAGTTCTAATTCCTGATTGAACAAAGTCGTAAAAGATATGTATATATAGATGCGTAGAATATGGGATACTCCCATATATATATATACATACATATTACTAATATCTACCCCAGTGAATGGTATGTAGATAGGTCGGTTTCTAAGCCACAAGCGGGGCAATGTACACGGCCAATGGTTTGTTATCCGAGATTCCAAGATCAAGCATGACTATGCTATGCCATGCCATGCCATGGTACTATAGTATGCAGTGTGTATGTCTTTATATGTATATTATATTAATATATATATATATAATTTACGTCTATAAACAGTACTATACTATAATGCAGACTATACTATACTGTACTGCAACTACACTGTCCTAAACATTACCATCGGTCCTATACTATACTATGCTATACTTGCATAATTGCATAAACCTGTTTTGCCTCTCAGTTCAACGCTGGTAAAAGGTTGAAGCACCCACAAGGCACCGGGTTGTCAAGACATGTGCCTTGTGAAGCTTGGAATGTTGGCAATTAGATAAACAAGATGCACCCATGGTATGCTCCTTTAGCTGGATTCAGCTGAATTGACTCAATTTTAAAAACTACCAGCCTTCAACCTTTTCAAGCAAGAAAAAGGATACACCAAAACACAAGCAGTGAACCCCTTTGCACCTTCCCCTTCCCAGCTAGTGCCATGTCGGGCCATCGTCATGATGCCATGCAAGCGAATCAGAACTTGGGAAATTCGCTGGGCGCTCGTTCCGCAGTGCGTCAAACCAAGTTCTTCCGCATGTACGAGAGTGGAAATACCATGAAGGCCCTGCTTGGCACCCCCAATCTGGCGTGGGATACTAACAAGAAGCCTGGATTTGCTGGTGAGTTTTTGAGTTTCCCAGTGGATTACAGTATATATTTTGGGGAAACTAACTGGAAATACCTGGAATATCTTGGAATATCCTGGAAGGATCCCTAAAGTTCTGGGCACTGGTTGGCATTAGGCTTCTCATTGCTTTGTAAACTACAGTATAATCCCTTATATATAATTGGACAAGACCTTCCAGTTCCCATCAAGGAATCCTACCCTGGGATCCAAGGAAGCAGGGCGCCTACCACGGCCACCCGATCGAAGATCCCTACACCGGCGCCCCCGTCCGGCACAGCACCGGCGGCCTTGGGCGTACCGAGAAGACAGCACCGAAGGTGACGGCGACGAAGGTAGTCAAGGGGAAGGATGGCATGGTGTCCAAGGAGGACTGGCTGTGACTGGTGACTGGCTATGGATCTGGGGAAATGAGAACGACACTGGGGAAGTGATCAGGGTAAATGATTTTCAAATGTGCATGAACATGCAGAGTAGTTATATGTGGGAATCACTTGAACATTTGGCAGATTTTTATGCTTTGCCCAGATGTCAATTTGTCAGTGGTATCTAGAATCTAGATGGAAAAGGGCACCCGCTGCAGCCAAACTTCCATGAGTTTTATGCCTAACTTGTCAACTTACCATTTTACATGGGTCCAACAAAAAAACCCTTGCAGACATTTTTTTCTATGGACTGTAGGTTCTTCTTGAGGTTCCAGCCATTCACTTTCAGCTCTTTCAGCTGCAGCCATTGCGCAGGTCCCAGCCGGAAGATCGAGATCAGAGAAGAAGCAGAGCCATGGTGAGGAAAACATTTGGCAGACCTCGTCGGCGGCCTACGGGAACTTCTGATTGCACAAAGTCTTGCATGAAAGGAGAAGCGACGGCGGCCTGTTGATCTCAGCTTTCAACGACTCGAAGGGTTAAAAGATGTTGAAATGATGGGGAAAGCAGAATCCTGGAAGATCATAGATGCAGAGATGTACTTCTGGGTGGTGGTGACTGCCAAAAAGTATCAAAACACATGGCAGTTGAGCTCAAAATGAAAGAAACATCTTCATCCTGGTCAGGTGGATGAGAGTGAGGCATTTTTGGGATTACCATTGGATCCGTTGGTATAGGGACACGTTCCACCGGATGTCCAGCTCTATTCAAAGACTTTCAATTCATTCCCAACCTACCGGAGGTCGAGGTGGTTCTGAAAGAACATGTACAATTTGCCAAGTTCCGATGTACCTGGGCCAATAGACCCACAAAATGAGCAAATTTTCGTCTGAACCATTCATGTTGAGCCATACCCCCCTATCGCCCAGATACATTCTATTTTGATATATAATAAATGATAATATATGTATGTGTATATGTATATATATATATACATTTCACAATCACCAGTTTCGGTTGATAAATCAACAAGCCGATTTGTGGGGCTAAGACCACAGTGGTTAAATCCCCTTAGCCACTCGAAGCGCGCCTGCCAGCACTGCCAGGGGAAGGCAGCAAAACCGGTTGGCAAAGATGGCTCATCACCTTCAAGCGACTGACAGGTGCATTGTTTTTTGGCCAAGGCCCATAGATACGGCCTGTTATATGGGCAATCCTTCCTAAAATGGATTGGTTCTGATTTTGGCAATGTATAATATATATATATATATATATATATATTATTTGATTATATATCTTTATATATATAATTATATATATATGCATGATTTAATTGAATGTATGTATAAATATGTATATGTGTATATATATATATATTTTTATGTACATACATGAGGTCATATCCGCCCCAGATTCGCGAGCGTCTTTCTGCTTGCTGATCTTGCTGTTTGTCAAACTTGCTTTGGAAGATGATCTTCCTGCAGATCATGGCCAATTTTGGGGCTCCACGTTGAATTTAGGGGAACTATATGTATTTCATTATATGTATATATATATATGTATATATATATATGTATATATATACATATACAGATATATATATATATATATACAGATGTATATGTATACACGTTTGAATTGAATATCACAGCATTTTGAGGACATTAGACCATCCGAGTTGGGTGCACAGTTGATGGACAATGTGTTGAATGTTCCTTTTGTTTTGCTTGAGATCTACCAGGTGCCACCCTTAATGTCGCGGTGATCTTCGGCTCTTGGGTTGGCGTCTCAGGAAAAACCAGGTTGCGGCATGGATTTGCTTAACAGACAAGGAGATTTCAACCAGGATAAAGTGTGGAGATTTGACCACCACAATATTGGAATAAGGGAAAAGTCCAATGGGCGAAAGGCATTAGCTTAGATGTCCATTCCTGGCTGTCTATGGCCTCAGTCAAGTTTTTTTTGAAAAACTAAGTTGAAAGCAAATTGGCGTGATATGGAATATTGTGTTGTTTTTGTTTGGGCTTCCAAGTGGCATAACCCATGTGAGAGCTCATGTAGGGTCCGCTTGTGCGTAAGCTTGCAATCTCAACGTTTCAACCAAAAAACTGAGTTGAAGGTAAGGCTAATGGCCACATGGGTGTGCTTGAAAATGGGATATACCCGCCAAATTCCAATTCACATGTTAATTCGGAAAATGACGGTGAAGCATGGCCCAGACGACAGGAACTTGTTGCTTCCTTGCTGTTGTTTCCGGGGTGTCAAGCTTTCACCCTTGAGTAGTTATGATTTAAGTTTCCTTCGCCCACTCAATAGAAAACTCATGCAAAGGGTGGATCATGGACTTTGTTTGCTTCCCCACTGGTTGCCGGTTGTCATTAAGGTGGCCATCGCTTATTCCATCGTGGAAAAGACTACCATCCAAGTCTTTTTGGAAGGCATTACTGACCAGGAGATACCCATCCACATGAATCAATGCTGCACCTAGAGAGTAAACCTAAATCAATGGGAGATTTGGGACATGAATCACGATACCATACATGGACTACATGAACATACATTGGACGATCTGTGCATCTGTCATCCAGTTCACATCACTGGACAGATTCCTGTGACTTTGATACGTGTCTGCGAAAAACAAAGCCTCAGTGTAGAGTTGGGATATTTTCGTCTGACTCCAATTTTGAATCATACATACCATATATATTCTTACACTCAATGAGTACAATAAAGTTTTTTGGCTCACCAAGATTCGCTAAGATCCTGTAGGGTTCATCCTCCACTGATGGATTCGCTATTGTGAATCCTTGTTGATAGGTCATGTTCCTGTGGCTTTTGATTTTAGGTTAAGGATGTAATAATCCTTGATGACATGGAATGGGCACCCATACCCCGGCAAAAAAAGTGTATGTGTGCAAATATGCACAAGATGCATATGCATATGCATATGCATATGCATATGCATATGCATCATCATCATCATCATCATCATCATCATCATCGCAATCGCCACCAAGAACTATCAGGTACTGATCATTGCTGATCCCCGAATGGGGTCTACCCCCAGGAGCCATTGAGAAGTATTTTGGCCACCGTGGGTGCCTTCGCGTCCCTTGGTAGCATTTTGTGGCTCAAAACCGTGGCAGTTGGAGGGTCAGACTGTCAGTATAGATTTGAGAAAAGTGAGCCTGATTTGCGAACCTGCATTGGAAAGCACGTTGTCAAAACATGGAGGTATTCAGGAGATATGGGATGGCTTTGCCCTCTCTCCCTGCTGTGGAAGCTAGACGTCATCTGCCCTGTTTGTGTCCATGTTTGTCATTACGTATAGATTGTTTTGCTATGTTTTGCTTGGCAATGTCACATCTGCTTTGTTTCTACCTCATGTCAGTGTTTTGTGGAGTCACAACTCGTGTGATACATTTGTTCCATATGATTATATGATATTCATATGATACTACAGTAAAGTGCAGTAATTACTTGAAGTTTCATGTCTTTTCCAATCGTTTTCACGTCATGATACACTTGGTTTCATGATGTTTCATGTTTTTGCAATGACTTTCGTATGAGGAAACTGCAGAGCTGTCGTTTGCCGCTCAACTCAAGGCCCAACTTGGTCATCGCCGCTGTGGGTTGGGAGCCCTGACTGGAACTGCTTGAGTCGGGACAGAGATGAGGGGACCACAGATGTTAGTTCATGTCTATCCAATTATCCATGTCTATCCATGTCTATCCATTTCTATCCATGTCTATCCATTTCTATCCATTTCTATCCATTTCTATCCATTTCGTTCAGTATGTTATAGTAGCATGTAGTAAACATGTCTTAAAGTCAAGTAGTTACGTTTTTAATCTTTAGTACTGCAACTTTACTTTATAGTCATTCTAATGTGAGTTTTTTTGTGGTAGACTTCAGGAAATCATCAGCAGCCAGGTCAGGTCCTGCCAACCATCACCAAGACCCTGACACAGTTTGAGGCACTGGGCCCGGTGGGCGTTGGTCAGGCGGTGGGTTCCCCACGGGATTTATGGTGGAGATATGATATATCCAGTGGTGAATCGAGATACCATATGATATCCAGCTGGAATCCAGATATATCGAGATAAATTATAACGACCTCACTGTTCTCCCTGGAATCATGGTTAGGATTCGGGGAATCATCCCCAAATAACCTGCTAATGTTGGCTGTGTGGGTGTGTTTGGACGGTCCAGCTCTGCTACGGTCAGCTGGGATTGGGCCCGCTGAAGATGGGAAGCCGCAAGTTTCAGGTTAGTGAAATATGATAATTTACTCAGATATACGGGGACAAGCTACTGTATTTGACATGGTGTTGAACCCTATGACAATATAACAATGGGGTGGATAAGCTATAGATATCTATAGATATAGAACCAAATCGATATCTTTTGGGCGTGTCACTGGAGTATATATCCCCCTTGCCATTGCCATAGTAAACGATCAAAATGAAGGGTACCCAAAATCAGACATTTTCGCCTGGGTTTCCTAGGTCATGGGTGACCCTAAGTTATCCAAGTTAATCATGTTGCAATTTTTATAGGGAAACCACCGGTGACTTGGGGTGCCCAAGTTTTAAGAAACATCCATGGAATGAATCTGAACAAGAAAGTTCAATCAAGACAATCCGCTCGGAGTAGCAATACAAACTTCAAACAACTTGCAAGATCATATGTGGTCCCCGCTGCGGGTCAATTTTTGTTCCATACCTCACTGGCGAATAGTTGAAGAAATGCACCAGCCGAGTTGCTAGCTTGGTTGACTGCACATTGTTCTTTGCTCGAATCGCGATGTTTGTTGGTCAGTTCAGCATTATTGCTGCTGACATGTACAGTTTGGCTGGTTAAATCCCGTTCTGACGACTGTAACTCCCCATTTGTCGTCGGTTGACTCCACATAAAGTTCATTTTCTTCTAGCAACTCCCTATGTTCATTTTGATCATGTGTTTTCATGTTCATCATGGGTTAGCATTTCCCTAGACTTGGTGACAAAACGAATTGACGTTCATTCCTATTTTGATCAGCTCCCCATGTGAACCTTTAAACAAAGACTATTGAACCAAAAAAACAAACAACTCATACTAGGGGTACAAATTTACCAGTAAAATGATGGGATAGGGGTATGTTCAAGGACTCATACTTGGGTTTATCATCAATAAATTGGTTGGTTTGATAGGTTTGAGTCATAGTAAATCATGGAAATTCTGATTCAATCAACAAACATGAGAACTTAATAGGATTTTTCTGGCTGGTCTATAATAGATGTTGAAATAATTAAGTCGCTTGAAACAACTACCCTAGTAAGCCTAGGGTAATCTAACATAGATGTGGAAAATCAACCATGTCTAGATAATTTTCCTAGAGGAACCAGGAAGGTTTCCCACATCTACACTGGTTTACCCTAGGACAATACAGGGGTTGAGATGATATCCCCAATCGTTGGGTGATATT